ATTGAGTTCGGCTGCGACCCCGGGGCAAACTGGCTATCGTAATTATTCACGCCGCGATTCCCGGGGAAAAACAAACACACACACACACATGCGGCATGGTGTCAGTGGCACACTAAAATGCAGGACTCGACACCACCTGACAGCCACTCTACGTGGAGTGCTTGTCGGATTTTAAAAATAATAACAAAACGAATACTTATGGTGTAAAAAAAATGACACAGAAAAAGAAGAAGTCGGCCAAAAACATGCATGCAAAATGAAGGCAACGAAAAAGAAGAAAAACAGGGAAAATGGGGACATGACAGTGGCAGTGGGTGGAGGGCTTGGAAAAGCCGGGAAGGATGACAGGACACTTTTGCAAGTGTCAGTTAAATGAAACACCCGATTCACATAACAATGGCCTGCTCCTGGCTATCGTGGTTCGTTTCTGACTTCCCGCTGGTTTCCCCGAAAAACTTAAATGGTGTCAAGGCTGATGAGTTTGTATCTCTCCACCACCTTCCCACATACACGAAAAACTTTAGCACAAGTCAAAGTTCGGATGCCCGGCAAAAGTTGAACAAATTCAATAGACAACAATAAAGTGAGAGCAAGTGAGTTGAGACCGTTTTGTGGCTGCCGATGATGGAGGGGTGCACCAAGAAAAACTGGGAATTTTATGTGGAAAAAAAAAACATTTTATATCATGAACTCGAACTTGAATCGTCAAAGTGAGGAAGAAGAAACTTTAGAACGTTTAAAGATTCTATTAAGATTTCGAATAAGAAGAATAAGAAAACATCTAATTTTGTTTTCTGTGTATCGTTTTTATCTCCCCGAACTCCATCTCTTGCATCACCCTTTTCACGACCCGTTGACAGCGCAAATATGCAAAGTCAAGTGGCAATTTATCATGCTCTGCAGTGAGTCCGCCCTCGGGAAACGCGAGAGTTAAAGGTGGCGGCCCAACCGCCGCGTGGGGCACTCTGGGGTTAAGTGGCAAACTAAATTGAATCGCCATTGCCGAACCATGCGTGGGCATGTATCTACGCCTACAACTAACACCCCTCGGCCCTTAACCCGTCTACCCTTCTGGCACTGCACATTGGATTAAGAGTGATTTCAATGCAGACTTTAAGTTCGTTTGGATTTGAAGGATTTGCTCAACAATTTCATTACTTTCTTTATTCAAAATCATAATTTCAAAGGTGAAAAGATAGTAGCCCTAAAAGTATGCTATACATATATACTAATAGCATCTGCGAGTAAATCTAGAAATAATATTTGTACTTTTATTTCTAAGCAAGTTTACATACTAACTGGAATATCAAGAAAAAAATCACTTTACTCTTTTTAACATATTCAGATTTATGTTTCTGCCCAAATAATTCAATATTAAAGACCTCAGAGAGCCAAAAATATAAATAAATTTCCAGCTTTACAGATGGCCCAACGAAATTAGATAATTGTTATAAATTCCCCCGGCATTATCTACAGTTGGTCTATAGTGTCCATTGTTTTGTTGTCGGCTCGTTTTTGCATTAAAATCGATGCGACGCTGACCTTTCCCTCAATTAAAAGTATACACCCACCCGCTGAGAACAGCGCACAGTGCCGGGGGAAAGTAATGGGACGCTTTTTCAGTTGGGGCGTTGCTGTCGACACTTTACCTCATTAGCAGCAGCGGCAACAGCATCGGCCGTTTGTATAATTAATGATTGCCTCCGCTGCAGGCTTCATATTGATTTTAATTTGTGGAATTTACTGGGTAAATATGATAAATTCGAGAGCTGGGCAGGACGAAATAGAATGGGATGTAGTAGTAGATGGAAGGAGCACTTAGCAAAGTAATTAACCAGCCCGATTTGGCATCGGTTGGCTGCTAGCTATGTCGTCACCCTCAAAGCCAGTTGGTCAAATCGAGGCAGTTGGTCACTTGACAATCCGAAAGCCCAACGAACCAACCCCCTCCCATCTGCACCCATGGGCGGAAGTGCCCGGCAACCGCAGAGCAACTCGACCCTATCCACCGTCTCCGGATATTCTCCCTGCCGTTGACAAGCCTCAAGAGATCCGACCAAAGACACTCGTCCCCGTCAGTAAGTGACCACAGCAACAGAAACAGCAACGGGCCACTGGGTATATGGAGATGTGGCGGCTTGGCAAGATGGGATGACACTGGCGGCGAAAGGCGGAGTAATATGCGTAATTAAACAAAACCGCAAGTGGGGCACAGAAACAGAAATAAACGGAGTCAGGCGCAAAAGGATCCAGTTACCAGGGATAAAAGCAACTGCAGATGCAGCGTATATACTCGAAAAGAAAAAAGGATTCCAAAATACGAATTTTGAATTCACTTTTCTTAATTACAAATGATACCTTTAAAGAATATTCTTTTATAATTGACATTGCCCATTTAACAGATAAAAATAATAAAAGTTATTAACTATTAAAAGATAAAAAAAGGTAAAACTTCAAAATCAAATTGCAGATTACAAGAGAATTTTTAAAATTTGTATACTTAAATAATTAAAATCATTGACATTCCCCTTTTCTTGCCCAACAAGAGGCGACGAAAAATATTAATACCCTTCGGCGAGAGATGTCAGCAGGCTTAAATTAAATATTTGCAAGGACCAAGGAGCATCGTGGGGAAAATGCAGAGAAAACGAAAAGGACGACTCGGAGCGAAAGAGTGGCTGGGATGAAATCAAAGAAAGTCGAGGAGCAGAAGAGCCAAAAACGCAGCGCCACATAAATGTGGAGCATGCAGATTGAAGTGTCGTCCGGAGACGAGGACCATGGAAAATGGCAAATGGTCCCATGGAAAATCAGAGGCATGTGGCAGGCCATGGAAATGCCATTCAAGAGCGACTTAACACCCCCTCAGACAGCTTTTAGGCAGTGGAAATTGATCGAAAGACTAAGAGCAAACATTGTTGACTGACATCGACTTCAAAAAAAAAAAATCGTTGATGTTTTGAAAAAAAAAAATGCATTTGGAAAAGAGCTACAAAGCTGGGAGACACTTTCGTATCTTTCAGATACTTATAAGCCCAGAGAAATGTGCAACAATGTGCCAACACCATCGATTTTCTATTAGCCACGAGACACTTGAGCTAGAAAACTAAATACCGAAAGCAAATATTGATAAATACGTAACGACATGACGAGGAAGAAGACGACAACAACCACATTATGAATAAAACTGAAACTCGTAACGGTCCAAGAACATAATAAACGCCGTCCATGAGACCGAAAATAAAACGCAGAACGTAACTCGGAAGAGGGCGCCCCATCCTGCCTCCCTGGCAAACCATAGTTACCTCAGCCAATGTCACACTGAAACCAAAAACTGGGTCATTAACATTAAAATACTACTACATAAAAAAAAAACAAATAATGTGTTTTTAATTTCTAATCATTGCGAATTGTACAGAAAACAAATTGTTATCACTTGACTTTTTGCCCACAGCAAAGGTTATCAGAAGAAATTGATTTTTCGTGAAAGTTTCTAAATCACATCTTTTTTTTATATTTTCCCCAAGTGTAGAAGTCACTCACCTGTTAGGGCTGCCAAATTCAGTACAAATCCAATTAGTTGCATTGCTAGGCCCGCAATTATTATGAAATTCTATTATTACTATCAAAATGTGTTTGCTGAAATTCCTGTGACCTGATTACAACACGTTCAAAGTGCCAGTGGCGTGAATTATTTCATTTATCTAATATCAAATTGTGCCGCGAGAATTCCACTTCAATTGTTTTGGCTTAGTTTTGCAGTTTCAAATATTTGTTGAGCACGCCGATCCGGCGACGGAGCCGGAGTCCAAATTCCGGATTCGGATCCGAGCGACACAAATGAGAGACAGAGAGTAGTGATTTCACGACACCCGCTTAGCCGGTGAGAACGAGATGGCGAACGAGAGAAAGCCAGGAGAAAGGCTTTTCTCTGGGAACACGAAGTGTAAGTGAACCAACGCGCACGAATTTTACTTTATCAATGAATTTGATTTTTTTTCGTATCTTCGGCATTGCAACATTCTCGGCCAGACACATTTTGTGCCCAGTTCGAAAATAAGGGGAAATGTTTAGGTTACAAAGCTAAGGGTGAAAAGCTCATTATCCACCAAGTGCCATAAAAAACTACTCCAGATTATTATTGCTTTTTTTTTGCCTTCTTTTTGCCTTAGCATTAAGTTGGACGATCGCTGAAATTTGATCTTGTTTTATTTTATCAGTGAAATTTATTTAATTTCGCATCTTCAGCACTCGCAACATACTTGATCAGATACAATGTTGCAGCTACAAAGCACAGCTCGAAAATAATAATAATGGAATTGTTTTTGTCTTATGAACTTAAACAGTTTGATAAAGGGAATAGGTTAAAATAAATATAAGAAATTTAAGCCGACTCAAAATTTTAAATAATTTTTTTTTCGTGATATTTTCTGATTTTTATTTCTGTCACATCTTTGAAGATCGCAACATTAGCAGCCTGATACAATGTTGCAGAAACAAAACCCAGCTCGAATATACCAAAAGGGGAAATATATATGGTGAAAAAGCTGGGGTGGAAAGCTCATAATCCACCGAATGCTATAAAATAATTCCATAATATTTTATGTAAAGCTGCTAGTAGCTCCAATAACAGTAGTAGAACACATTTTAAGCAAAGATTTCCAATATAATTCCTGTAGTTCATGAAACTTGGTGTTATAACATACTGTTATTGACCCAGATATGAGGATTTATAAAGGTTTGTCTATTGGATAATGTTAACAAAAACTTTTTTCATATAACGGTAGTATACAAAACCTTCCTTAGTATTTTTATATATAAAATTTTTTTATTAACGTAATGCAACAATAATTCAACAATCTTACTCGAAATATAAAAATAAAACAGAAAAGATATATTTATTTTCTTTCCTTTGTTTAAACGGTTTAACATGGTAAATCTATTCATAAGTCTTTTGGTATTTTCTGGTATTTTCCGTTACCTGGCACTATTAGGCACAAACTCATATTTGCGTTCCATATGCTCGACTTCAATGTTTTGATTTTGCAAGAATGCCGGACAAAAGGTAAATAAATTTTTATCTTTTAAAAATAGTTTTACAAAAATACAATTTTTGTGCAGAGCAAGAAGGAAATTGATAAAGAAACAGCAAAGGAAGAGACGGCGTCAAAAACAAGCCAAAGAACGCGACAAACTGGAAGAAGAGGCGGAAAACCAGAGACTGCTGCAGCCTGAGTACCAGAAATGGCTACAAGAACAGCGGGAAATGGAGGAATTCCAAAGATTGGCTGAGCAACGGGAGCATCAAGATGCAGAGGAGGCCTGGTTGCGAAGAGAAGCCATTGCCCAACGACAATTCCGGATAGACGAGGCCAAAAGACTCCAAGAGCAGGAGGAAGTCGAGCGTTTGCAAAGGGAACAAGCAAAAGAGCGGTTAGAAAGGGAGGAAATCAAAAGAAAACTGCGAAAGGAAGAGATGGCAAAATCTGCCAAGGCTGCGGCTGAATTCGATGCCATGATGGAGAGCATGAATGGATACCTCAATAACCCACGAATAGAGAATCCTCCTAGTCACCTTCTACGGGTGATGGAAACCCACCCGGAAGAACGGCTCTGCGAATTCTTCACTCGCACCAACTGCTGTCGCTACGGGCACGCCTGCACTTTCAACCACCGGCGACCATTGCTGGCCAGGATTCTCCTTCATCCGGCATTTCTTCAAACATTCTATGCTGCAGGAACACCGGCCGCATAAGGAGTACGACTCGGCGGAGGAGCACTTGGAATTTACCGAACAAGATCTTCGCCGCGATTATGATGAGTTCTTTAACGACACCGTTGAAGAACTGGAGAAGTTCGGCACCATCGTTAACTTCCGAACTGTGCGAAATACACTGGAACACCTCAGGGGACATGTCTTTGTGCAGTACACTAATGAACGGTTTGTCTGGGAGTTTTAATTATAATTATTATTATATTTAATTTATTTTACATTGTTTATTACAATTGCAATTGTTTATATGCAAATTATATATTTTATTTTTGCTTCAAGAAGCCTAATTCTCAAAATGTTCGTGCATATAATAGCCTATAAATCACATTTTAAAATAATGTCACACTTCCACGTTATGGTAATTCTATTGTCTGTGATTTTGATTTATTTATACATTTTCATGACTTAATTGGAAAATTATTGTTATTTAAAACATTAAGCAACATCTATATTATATATGAAAATCTGTTAATGTACCTCTTCTTTGTATTTCTGCTTATATAGATCGGCTCTTCGCGCTTTTACCAATCTTCAAGGTCGCTACTATGCCTCCAAGCGCCTCAACGTAGAGTTCTCCAATCTGAAGACCTGGCGTGGCGCAGTCTGCGGTACGTGAACTGCATGCCGAGAAGAAGCCGTATCCTTTGTCAAAACAAAACTCACTCAGTTGCTAACCCATATATATCTTTTAATATCATATTTTTTTTATCATAAACTCTGACTTTTTAAAGGTTTGTCCTTAACACGTAAATGTCCCAAAGGTAACGGCTGTGGGTATTTGCACTTATTTCGCAATCCGAACAACCTGTTCAACACGGAACTGGAAAGCACGACCACTCCTCGCAGGGAAAGCCGCTCTAGCCAAACTGCGACGGTGAAGACGCCCAGGTAGGGTCTTTATTTTAATATTTTTAATTACAAATATTTAATTTTTGTTCCCCCTTCTTAGTTGGGATGACCAGAATAAGCGTGGCAGGAACTGGCGCTGGTCAGAAAGCCCAGAGGTGGAGCTTGAAAACTTCAAAGACGTGGGCAACAGTCTTAAAAACTCAAACAGAAGGCAAGATCTCAAAATCTCCCATCATAGGGAGTATAAAGCCAGGTCAAGAAGTGATAAAGATTCAAAACGATCGAATCGTGATGAAAGTTCTAAAAGAAAACGCAGCTCCTCAAGAACGTCACATGACGATCACAGATCAAGCAGAAACCATAGTTCTAGTTCTAGGAGCCACTCCACAACCCCTCATCGCCAATAAAAAGCAAAGTAATATTTTAATTTTTTTTATGGGATCTTTACAAAATTTTATTCAATCTCTTTGTGGGCAAAACATGAGTGTCTCAAACAAAATACTAAAGAGATTCCGAATTTCTTGCTTGGATGAAAGTCAGAAGAGGGTCAGAGATACACTCGCAATTTAAGATTGCTTATAAATATTGAAAGTGCGATCTGAAAACGACTCAATTGATTACAACGGAATGGAATTCTACGCGTAAAATTGGCAGTTTCGAAACGAGAAAAGGTAAAGTGAGACTGACTGAGGGTGCTGAGGGTAGGGGTGGTGTGATGACAGTATTATAGGTGGTAAGGTAAGATCGGAAATTGTAAATTCTAAAGTCTATTTGTCTTGCTTTCTTCCTTTTTCGTCGTACACATACAAACAAAAATTATACAAAAACTCGTTTAAGGAATATTATAATAAGTAGCTTTAAAATTAGGCAAACAGCAAACGCAAACCGCTTATAGACGGATTCCGGGATTCGTGGCCGCCACATAGCGCAGCAGCTCCTCGTTATCCTCGCAGATGACGGGCTTCTCGTGGTAGCAGGCAACGTCGTGCCAGGCGATACCATCGTTGTACACGTTGTTCAGCACGGACAAGCACTGTTCCTTGGTCTGGTTGATGTCGTATTCAGCGTTATCTGGCTGTGGGCGCTTCTTGTGTCCAGTCTGCGACCATGGGTTGTATCCCCATCCCTGTGGAATGCGGTTGGTGGCCTGGATCTTCTCTCGAGTTGCAGACCAGAACCATCCATAGACGGTCTTGGGCTCCAGATCGGGACGGTTCTCACAGCCGGCAAAGTCACAGATACGTCCGGCCGTCCAGATGTACGGCACATCGTTCTGCTGGATCACACGGAAGATCAGGTTGTTCTTCTCTTGGGTCTCCAGGGCAACCAGGTCCATGCAGTACTCGCGGCACAGATTGCGGCCATCAAGCCAGTCGACCTTCTTGTTGGCCAGGGCGGGCACGTGGGTGGTTAGGAACATGTTTTTGCCGCGGTAGGAGAATTCCTTGGGACCTGTGGGTCAACAAAGAGAAAGTCAGTTAGCGGAAAGTGTTTAGGCAATGCACTGGGAAAAAGTATGGCGAAGTTATGGTTTTTTTTTATTTTCTATTTCGTTGTTAATCCATCTTAAATCCTAGTCCTAATCCTGTTAAAACAAATCCTAGATTTAAAAATATTATTCTTCCTCAACAAATATTCTAATCAATTGCTAATTTCTATTATTTATTTCGCTCTGTGTGGGTGTGGCCTGTGGCAACCGGTTTTTCCGCGCTGCTGCAGCCTCATCTTCATCTTCAGTGGGAGACCCAGTGCAATGTCTCGGAGCCTGCCCCATCATGGGCAAACGAAACCGAAAGCAAGTAGCGCCAAAAATAAAAAGATATATATTGTTGCCCCGGGCCTTACACAACTTCCTCGGTGGCGGCGTATTACGCAATCTCCGCAATTTATGCAGCATGCTTCTTTTTGCGCCTGCCGCTTTCCTTTTGTCTTGGGTGTCAAAAGGTTTTCTGCTTAGCTTTTTGTCTGTTTGTTTGTCCGTCGAGGAACAATGGGAACCCCCGCCTAACAGCTCCATCCTCGAACTTGTTTCGCCTGAGCGAGCTGCCAGCTTCCATTTGATTAGCTGCCTCTTTGGAAGTCTTCGCAATGTGCGATATGTCCGCCCCCAGACACGCCCTAAAACAAAATACAAATAAAAACCCGCCTGTTGCCACAGTTGGCACGCGTCATTAGCCGGGCTTTAAGCCACTTTTGCAACTGCTACACTCCTCCCTATCCCCCCCTTTGGCACGCCTACTCCGCGAATACTTCACGTCAAATCAGCTTAAGTCCAACATAATGGCCTTATTTGCCATTGTGTGCACATTATTATTTATTTTGCTGCCGCTTTGGCTGTCGCTTGCAATTTCCTCACATTTCTGGCCCTTTTTTTTTGTTCGCGGGTCAAGGCGATAATATATATATATGCATAAATAGCTTAAAACTCATCTCGACTGAATGTATATATATATGTTTTCCCGACTGAAACTTGCATAATAATACCGGTGCTGCATTCCCCATTTTGCGATTGGCATCTTTCAACAGTGACTTAGAAAAACCAAACCGTTTTCGAATGTTAATTATCGGGCGGCTGCACGCCTGAGAGAGTTGTCTACAAAAGGTAATTAAGTCTGAATAGTTAATCAGGTGATTTAACTATTGGGAGACAGACCTAAAAAAGTTGCGCTTGTATAACTGGAAATTTCTAAGAGATGAAAGATCTAAATAGCTGCCAACGGCACTAGCTCAAAAAAACAGAGAAATAAAAACTAAAACTGGATATGCAACTCTCGGTGACGCCCCAAAATTAAGTTGCATGTTTAACGGCTTTGGCTTGGTCTGAATGTGTGTGTGTGAGTTAGCCATAAGTTTAAGCGTTAGCCGGTGTGAGTTAGGGTTTGTCTAATTAGCAATAACTGCAAAGTGTTCATTAGTGTACCGGATATGCAGCGATGATGCTATTGTTCAGGCGTTTCATGCCCGTTTTGGCCCGAACTCTAAGCCCTGATGCAATGCTCGTAATCTCAGGCGATGACTTGCAGCGTCAATCATCGGTAGAATAAGTGAGGAAAACCCACTTCACCTGAACTATTTACGGATTATCTTTTACTGATTTTTACAATTAATAATTAAAATGTATTTAAAATGTAGTTAATGGCTTAGCTGGAAGCAAAAGATTATAAACAAAGTTTATTGTACAAGCTAAAGAATTAGTTATATCCGAATCTATGAATAATTTAATTTGATAATTTTAAATTTCAAAATTCCTCTCTTAATGAAAATTGTTTACGAAAGAGGCGGGCAAAGAAAGCTGGCCTAAACCATGAACTCCTATTAAACCTGCGATCACGTCAGCGACCTTCAGCAAAAAACCCCTCGGCTGTTGTGGTTACACCCACACGTCGCATTGCCAAACAATTTCAAGTGCAAACTTGGCAATCGAAGCGACGGACCAACCGCTTAATATTCTCGTCACATTCGTCACTTTTACTTTTCGCCATTGTGGGAATATTTGTGGGGGAGAAATACTTACGGCTGGCGCACTTGGCGGGCACGGGCAGTGAGAGGAAGCGACCCGGCTTGGTCGCTGTGGTTGTGGTGGTTCTGGCCGCATGGCTGCAGGCCATCACCACGCAGAAAGTCGCTATCGCTAGGGTGACTTTCATCTGTAAGTAAACAAAAAAAAAGAAGAAACAGAAGCGTGAGCAAAAAGTTTGGTAAGACAAAATGCCATTCAATGTGCGATTTGGCAAGTCACAGGTACAACCAAATGCAAATTGTTAACACGTTGTCATTAACATAAATTTGTACACGATTATCGGGGCGATAAAGACGCCGCGCCCTTTTGTTCGCCACCTCAGTCCATATTGCGTATACGCAATATTTCGTATAAATTTCCAGCGCTGGCCGAATCCAAAGATGTAAGCTGGTCGGTGCGAGATCGAGATCGGTTTTTATGTCAAGGATGCGCAACCGGTTGCCCCCGGCGGCCACTGACACAGTGCCACAGTGACTACCAAACGCCAACCGATGCCATCGACGCCGATCGACGACACTTGAGACTTTATTATTTTCATTTTCATTTTCATTTTTATTGTGGCGTGGCGTGGCATGGCGCATCGCAGCGGCAGCAACGTGATCAGCATCGGCATCAGCATCAACATCAGCGTCAGCACATCACATTATTCATAAATAAAAATGTATTTAGCATCTGCAGCGGCAAACATGTTGATTACACAAGCAGCGAGCCTGACCTTAACTGGTTTTATTGACTTTTTATCGCCTTTTTTTTGTTTTTTTTAATCAGGCGCTGCGTGTCTTCGGCTAGAACCTTCCACGTCGCTAAGCATTTTAATTAAAGCCCGTTTTAAGTCGTTTCTTCCTCCTTATGCTAATGCAATTCGCAACGGATTAATTCGATCGGAGCTCGATGTCCGCTCAGCTTAAAATTGTTGCATATTAATTGGATTCGATCCGCACGGCGATTGCGTGTCTGTGTTGTTTATCGCCAGTATTTATTTGATCGCCTGCTGTCCGCTGATTTGGCAACTATAAATCATTAATGACCCACCGCTTATCAGCGGTCAGCGCCTAATTTGGTAACAATACATAATGAAAAGTGGATTTCGTATTGATTTCATTTTCGACAGCGACATTTCCAAAGTGAAGAGCAGTTCAGTTGGGAAATCTGGTATTGTATGTTATTGCTGTTGCTACTCTTTTGTTGTATTTCTTATTTGTTTTGTTCATTTGTTGCGTTTTGTAACTTGTCCATCAGCGCTTTGTCCATTTCTTGTTTCAGGCATGTTAATCAATCAGCCGACGAGCCGATGAGGCATTTAATTATACTCCTACAGAGAGCTCAGTGCCCTTTGATGCCAGCGGGCAAATTACATGCCAAGTGGGGCTTTGTGCATTATCGACTGTTTCTCTTTTCGGGTTTTCCTTCGAGGGGTTATGGGTGATGGAAAATTTCATGTGCAATATTGCACAAGCTATATTTCGTGGAAATTATTTTTTGGGTAATAAATTTGGGTAATAATTTTGACAGTTAATTTTACGATCAAATTTTTGGTTTTTCTTGTGTAAATTTATAATACAAAAGACTAAGGCAACGAACTTTATCTAAGTTTCAAGTTGTAGGCTTAGACAAAGAACATTTGCCATGAAAGCAAACTTCTTCTAAGTAAGTTGTCAAGAGAAAGACTTGGGCAGCGAACATTTTCAAAGTAAGATTTAAAACGAAAGACTCAGGCAACGAACTTGTTTTCTGAAGACCCTCTTGTCAGCTTAAGTTCTCTTCGATTCAGGTCTTGCAAGTTCTGAGCGGGATTTTTATATATATTTTTTTTCAGTTGGATTTGGGATTTATCAGGTTTCCATATCCTTGAACAGCTCACAGCACTCAGTTTTATATTTTTTGGTACAATTTATAGTTGTTTATTGACATGACACATTATGGCTTTGCACTTTGGTTAGTCCTTCGATTGTCCGCACACACACACATATTGCTTAAAGCATATGGCATATGAATATATATATATACGTATATACATATATATATAGCACACTGTATATCCTTGGACGCGGAGCTGAGCTGCTTACCTTTGCTTTGCTATTTGGAATAACACTGCACAGCACGGTTTCTATACTGTAGTCGCCGAATTGTCCAAGCAGACAACCAGACGAGACCAGACGCAAACGAAAACAAAAGTCAATTGGCAGCAGCAAACTGTTTTATAGTCGAAGCAGCGCTGGCGGCCCACCAACAACATCTCGTGCAGCTTTGAAAAGCTACGACAGCGACGCCACCAGCGACGTTGACCGCAACTTCTG